CAACTAGCAAGAAAACAAAACTCTCTTATGGTTATAAGAACTGAATTCTGCCAATAATCACTGAGCGTGCAATAGGATACTGACCCTCCAGTAAGACTGCAGCCCTGTCTGATTCCTTGATTTTAGCCTGGTGAACCCTGAGCAGAGGACCCAGCTAACCCAAACCCAGACTCCTGACCAGTGGAAGCTGTTACAATAACTTTCTTTTTGTTTTAAGGCACTAAGTTTGTGGTTATTTGTTACACAGCAATATTAAACTTGTATAAACTTTAATTATGTCTGAATCTAACTCAACTTTCTAAATTTATGGACTTCCGTGAAAGCTATAATTATATTCATCTTTTATACTCTCCATAATAATTTGTTGAACAGGTGACATACAATATATGTAAAGCAGCTAACAATCAGAAAAAAAGTTTGAATATAATATGATATATTTCAAACCCTGTTTATGATGGAACCTATGCATTCTCTGAAACACTGGAAATATATTGTATTCAAATCTCTTCTAGATGAGTTGAGCTATTCAATAAAGAATGGAAATCCTTGTGTTCAAAGATTAATGTTGTTATAGGGCTTGACTCCTGCAATCAGCACATAATAGAGGTCTTAGAGTGAGTCAGATCATAGCTTCTCAAGTGAATTCAAATTATAAATTTTTAGAGCCTTATGGTGCCTCAAATATTACCTCATTCAACTCATTACTTTGTAAATTATAAACAGTACTACCCCTTAACTGACCAAGATCATGTTTTTATAATAAGTCAGTTACAGAGTGTAGGTAAAGATTCAAGCCTTATGATTTACAACACAAAGCATCTCTGCCACCTCCTTCTACACCTTGACAGGACAGCAGGAGAGCAATGGGTTCCTAGGTGTTTTCACTAGGCTGCTGATGAAAACAATCTACAATGAGTTACAGCAGCTGTGTTTTCTAGGCAGCAAAGGGTTGACTGGATTGAAACAGAGAAGTTAATTATTTTAGAAATGTACAGAAAGATGTTTTTTTTTATCCTCACCCGAGGACATTTTTTTCCATGTTTTGTTCAGATAGAGTGGGAGAGAGAGAGAGAGATAAACATCGATGTGAAAAGGACACATCGAGTGGCTGCCACCCGCACGACCAACCAGGGCCGGGACAAACTGCAACCGAGGTACGTGCCCTTAGCGGGAACCGAACCTGGGTCTCTCTGGACTGCAGGCCGAAGCTCTAACCGCTGAGCCAAACCGACCAGGGCCAGAAAGATTGTTTTTTTATTTTTTTTGTATTTGTTTTGTTTGTAGCTGATTTTTTTTTTCCCACTAAGCAGAAAGAAAGTTGACTCAGGCTCTTAAAGGATAAAAGTATTTAAAAAATCAGTTTTCCATTCAGAAACTTCAAATACAGAATGGTGTTAGATTTGATAGCATTGAGTGGTCAAGATAAGATACTTCAAAAAAGAACACTGAAACAGAGGAGATTTGGAGGGAGTAGAAGGAGTTAGTACTTCAAGAGACGAATGATTTTAAAGTTAGCATTTTCTTTCTACAAATGGAGTGAGAACAGAAGGCAGATACCGTCTGATTATCTCAGATTCAGCTGAAGGGGAATGTCATTTGTTCTTCCAATTTCCAGGAACTGCATAAAACAGTCATAACAGGAGGACATGCTCCACGCCTGTGCTGGGTTAGTCATCATTACATTTTTTTCTGATCACTACAGAAGGAGAAGTTACAAATGTCAAGGGAGTGGGGCAAACATAAAAAGAAAAGAGTAAACTATGCTCAAGACAGTGTTCTTTTCTGCAGATAAAGTAAAATGAAATATTATAATTTGTAAATAAAATGTGAAGGTATATCTATCTTCTTGTAAGTCATATTCAAATAAAATAAACTAAAGATAAAGTGAATATCCATTTTGACTTCACAATCTACTTTATCTTAGAATAAAAGTTTGAGAGAAATATGAGACAACTTTTCTTTTATTTCATTTTTTTTGTTTTTGGATTCTTGACTGGAGGATTGTATTAAATGTGGATTCTGATTCACAGTGGTATTTGGGGAAATTATATTTACATTAACACAGTGGGATTCAGAAATCCATTTCCACTTGACTTGATAATATATTGGAAAATCAGCTGGATATCAAAGGTATCCAAAGCTTATCTCTTGTTCACTTAAAGAGATGGCCCTCCTATTAAAAGCACAATTAATATTCTGACCTTTTTTACATACAATTTAAATATTTTTAATAAATTTCAAAGGTTATTTTTAGATTTTTTAAGGAAACTTAAGTGGAGTTTTTATCTCTCACCAATCAGGAAACGCAGTGTGATGTGAGTTACTGCAGATCCTGACACAGCTTCCATTACGCTGCGATTTAGTCGGAATCTAACTCAAAACATGTGCTGATCTTTACTTTTATAGCAATCTGGAAATACCATAAACACACTTAAAATGTACCGCTTTAAGGTTAGTGGCACAGCTTACTGAATTTTTCAGAGGAAGTAAGCCTCCCTCAGACCCCCTTCAGCTTGGGACTGAAATGTACGCCTGGTTTCTAGATCCTGATGTTATCAAATAAAATGAACTGTTGTCATTATACTCATGTTAAATAGAGAGAGGTTCAATTCTCCTATATCAACAGCAGAAAGTTGATAGAAACATTTCCATTCTCGATAAAGTGAAGAGTATTATTCTATATAATTTAATTTTCTAAAAGCTTTCTTATTGACTTTTTAAGAGAGAGAGAGAGATTCATATCCTCGGCCACATCCTGAATTCCAATGGAGCCCAGAACCCAGGCAGTTGCCCTGACTGGGAGCCAGACTAGCAACCTTTCGGTGCAAAAGATGACGCCCATCCAACTGAACCACACCAGCCAGGGCTATATTATTTAATCTTTTATGGTTAAGAGCATTCATTCCAAAGAATCATCTACAAAAGAAAAGAATTAATACATGCCTTTGCAGAATACCTGACCAGCATAAGGTGTGCAGACTTCTGATTTTGATAGTTCTGATAGACATATTTTAGGTTCTAAAGAAAAAAATTAACCAAACTTGTGTATAACTTTGCAGTTCATTAAGCTTTTTTTTTTGCATGAAGGACTCTCTTTACTTGTGTAAAGACTCTCTTTACTTCCTCTCTTGAACTTGTGTTCTGTGCCCTAAAGGCTGCCACTCACACAGCATATACTATCAGTGGAGAAAGGTAGAATTCTGCAAGGCAAGAGGCTGTGGGTCCGTTATTGGTTTTATTTAATGGAATAAATATTAATTCTGTAGTTAAAAACAGTAAAGTTTTTTTACTCTGTGAAAATTTCATAACATGATATTTTAAGCACATGCATACACACCACACACACACGTGCACAAATATTATCTATTTTGTTCTTGCTATTATATCCTCCCCATTTATGTTGCTATTTTAAAAGTAATATTAAATATTTTAATAAATAAATCATAACAGTGATATGTACACATGGTAAGAAAAAATTAGTTTAGAAGGGTACTAAGAAAAATAAGAGAGCTCTCTTTTCTCCATTCCTCACTCTACTCTGTACCAATCCCTGAGGTAAGCACTTTATTAACTTCTAATTATTTCTTACTCTGTTTATCTCTGTAACTCCAAGTAAGTTTTCCATTACCTCTATTTCTGAATTAATTTGCTTAAGAATTATCTATTAACTTATTTTTTGGATGATTGGTTCACTGAAAAGTCTCTTTCCTATCCCCATATCTGTTATTAAAATACGCTTTCAACTCATAATTAAGGATATGAAAATTCAGCATCACATTTTGCTTATTTTTACTTTTTAAAAGATACCCTTTCTATTTTTATATGGATACATTCAATTTCCTCTGAATGTGCCCATCACATCTCACATAGGGCTCAGACTTCCAGTAATTTGGTCAGCTTACTTTTTATCACCGCTGCATAACCACCTGCCTGAGAATTACGCCAGTACTTCTTGGACACTATTCCCTCTATTCTTTTATCTTTCTTTATGCTTAAGAATATAGATAATTGTTTTAAAGATATCTGATAACCGGTTGTGTAGATGCCTTTTATTCCTTCTCCTGAAGAATTCTAGGGTCATCTTTTTATTCTCTGTGTTAGAAAGTTCACAATTATGTTTTTACATATATGGGCATTTCCACATTTATTGCATTAGTCTTTAAAGATCTGTTTGAATGTGAAGATTTGGGTCTTCTTTTAACTCTTCAAACATGCTGGGTTTTTTTCTTTCATTAAACCCATGATAGTTTTCCTCTAAATGTTCTCAAATTGTTTATGATTTTGTTGGTAATCTTTTTCCAAATTTTCTTTATGTATGTATCCACTAATTAGATGTTGAAGAGACTTTATTTATTCTCTATGACTCATATCTTATTTTTCATACCTTCCTTCTTCATTTTAAATTTTATATTTTGAAATATATCTTCCAATTTCATTTTTATTTTGACAATTATATTTTTAAATTTAAAAGCCTTTTTCTTATTAGTGACTTGACTTTTTCTTGAATATATTAATTCATGTATTGTTCTTTTAAATGTTCTCTCATCTGTTGATGCTCACCATGCAAATTAAAATTTATAAAAACATAACAAAGAGATTTATAATATGTTAAGCAAACACTAAATCAGACATGTAAACTGAAATAATATGGACAAAGAAATTATAACTGACAAATAGATTAGAAAACTTTTCAAAATCCTATTGCCTATTTCAAAATCCTATTGCCTATGCTACACAATAGTGCCCCCTTTTTTAAACCTAAACCTAAACATAAGTAAAAATTACTATCCCACATTTTTTGCCTATTATTACAAAATGTCTCTTGCCTTGGCCAGGTGTCATATTTTCCAGTATTCTAATTCTGCCTCTATACTTTTTCTATAAGTATTTTTCAACATTCCTAATCATATGTATATGAAAATCTTGGGGTAGAAATTATTTAGTGTCAATATATTAATATAGATAAATCCTGTATAAACTCTCTCCTTATTTTTTTCCCCCAGGGGAGCCCACAAACACAGTCCCTCACCAGCACAAATAAAGCAGAGTCAAGTTCCCCACATTTGAGAAATCGCAGGGTCAGCACATACGGATTGCAATGCACAAGACTTGCCCTGGGAAAACCCCTGTGATCATGGTATCTCCCCTGCCAGGTAAGTATAAACTTTCTCCTTATTAATGTGATTTGTATTTATTCTAGACTAAAATAAATTTGAATATATTTTATTACAGGTAAAATATATTAGACTTGAATATGAGATTGTTTTCAGATTTCTCTTGAAAAATACATTAATTTCTTTGTATGCACTCAGGTAAAAGATACATTTGGTGCTTCAAAGTCAATTACAACAGAAAGAAGTGCTTCTAGTCAAATACTAGAACAACAAGCATTTATTTCTTTGTTTTATATTTTATTTAAAAAATCAAGATCATTCAAAGAAAAATTGGAGTATTCTCTGCTCATTTTATGGCATCATTTTTAGCATTCTATATAACATTTTTTTAAAAGACAGGACAAAAGTTAACTTTTATCATAAAAGGTACTTACCATCTGACTCAGTCTGTTCAAAATAAGATTAAGATATGGGGTGTAGGGAAGCGAGGGTTCCGGGACTTTCTATAGTGGCAACTGCATTTTCATCTGGTTGTCTGAATGGCTTCTCTGATTCATCTGGATTCACAAAGGTAAAATATCACTCATGTCTATAAATAATAAAAATGAAGAGACTCAACTCATCTATATGATGGCACACTGCCAAACTGCCTGCATCTGGGCCCACGAAAGTCTATAATAGTAATTGACTCTATGCATTATGCTTTTTCCCTTAGTTCTCTTTTAATATAAAAATTAATTAAAATTTTTCAAATGGATTTTTTAAAAAATATGTTTTTATTGATTTCAATGAGAAGAAGGAAGAGGGAGAGATAGAAGCATCAACACTAATTGGCTGCCTCCTACATGCCCCCTACTGGGGATCAAGCCTGCAACCTTGGCATATGTCCTCACTGGGAATCAAACAGGTGACCTCCTGGTGCATGTGATGTTGATGTTGCTCAACCAACTGAACCACATGGGTCAAGTTTAAAATGGGATTTTTTTAAAAGACAAGTAGTTATTGTCAATGGAAAAGAATAATATTCATCTAGAATATTCTAAAAACAAAACAAGAAAACTACCTTGTTTTTCTTTTTTTCTTCAGGTCAAACTCCAAATTCTAAATGTTTAAATACTCTGTTTTGATTCCCACATATATTTTTTAAAAGAAATACATTATTTAAGCAGCAAAGTTTCTTTCCTTTGGAAATCCCCATTAAAATGGAAGATTAAGGAGACAGAATTTTCTGCTGAAGATGTTGATTTACAACATGCCAGTTACTAATGTTCTTCTATCTATCCTTTATAGTCCAACTACTATTTGAACGGCTTATGAAGTGCTTTGTAACTGGGTTCAAGTGGATTTTTCCCAGTGAAGGCCTCCAAAATTATTGTCTAATGCACTTATTTAAGTATGCACTCAAGATATTTTTGTGCAATATCAAAGGAAAACTATAAATCTACTATGTTTGATAGGCAACAAGAAAATCAGTTTAATAAAATTACAAGTTTTGCATCTGACAGTCACTGGAGATAAAATTCAAAATTTGAATGAGTACATTGTATATAGACTTTAACTTATTGGTAATGAAAACATTGTATAATTTTCAGTATGGGAATTATAGGGTGAATTCAAGTTATTAATTTGTTAATGCAAAAGGAATAGAAAGAATATAAATGTGTATAAAATATGTATGTATATAAGGATAGATACATACATGATATTCATAACTTCTTCCAAACTAGAATGTTTTTTTTTTATTTGTCTGTTTTCCTTTATATTATCTTATATCTCCTCTATATCAACAAAGAACACAAGATATGATGGTATGCTGAGTTCAGAGATTTTTAATCATTACTCGTTGAATTGGAAGGCATTGTATTGTTAAATCAAATACTTTTTTTTTTTTTTAATCCTCACCCGAGGATATTTTTCCACTTTTTTGTACAGATAGAGTGGGAGGGAGAGAGGGGAAGGGGGAGAGAGAGAGAGAAACATCGACGTGAAGGGACACATCGAGTGGCTGCCACCCGCACGACCAACCAGGGCCGGGGACAAACTGCAACCGAAGTACGTGCCCTTAGCGGGAACCGAACCCGGGTCTCTCCGGACCGCAGGCCGACGCTCCAACCGCTGAGCCAAACCGGCCAGGGCTAAATCAAATACTTTTAAGTTATTTTTCTGATCGTGTGTGAAACCACCTGATTTTCTTTGTAAAGATCCAGTAGGAATTATATAGATGGATGCCCACCAAAGCAATACAGACTATCGTATATTGAACTGAACAATAAAAGCTTTTCATCTAGGATACTTATGCTCACCACTCACTACATTAACTTCTGTAATTAAATAGATCTCTTTTCATAATATACAATTCAGTCATTTAATAACACTAACATGTCAATATAAGGGGTGAAATTTTGGTTAATTTAAACATTAAAGGCCTTTTTTGCTATGGTTAGGACTAAATTAAGGCATGCATCTAAAGTGGTGATTAAATCAGTAAAATTCTCACCTGTAAACAAACTTTAAAGGTGCATATGCTGAACAAAATTAACCCAGAGACATAGAGGTGGGGTACAGACTGACAAGCCTCAGAGGAGGGAAAGAGATAAACCACAGAACTTACATACATGTATGCATGACCAATGAACATAGACAACAAAGCTGAGGGTGGGGTTGAGGGGAAGGGGAGAAGAACATCAATGGGGGGAAAATAAGAAACATCTATGCCAAAAACAAATTAATAAATAAAAAATAAATAAATTTTAAAAAATACACTAAAAAAATACATATGCACAAAAACAAAATACAACTCTTTAAGAATATTTATTACTTTCTCACATAAATGGGGATATACATACTTCAACTTGTCACATAGCCAATAATTTTTGATAATAGTATTCTGAGAAATAATTTTATTTACAACTTAATTATTTTTATAAATTGTGTATTCTCCTTGACAGATCAGTAGTTGCCAGGAGTTTGGGGAGTATGAAGGGTTGAAAAGTAACACATGGAGGATATTTCAGAGTAATAAAACTATACTTGTAGAAACTCTAAAGGTCATACATGACACTATGTATTTTTCTTTCTTTTTTAAAAATATTTTTTCTATATTGAGTTTACAGAAAGAGGAAGGAAGAGGGAGAGAGAGTTAGAAACATGGATGAGAGAGAACATTGACTGGCTGCCTCCTGCATGTCCCCCACTGGGGACTGGGCCCACAACCTGGGCATGTGCCCTGACCAGGAATTGGACTGCTGCCCTCTTGCTGCATGGGTCAACGCTCAACCAGTGAGCTACATTGGCCGGGCAACACTATGTATTTTTCAAATTTCATAGCACAAAGAGTGAACTCTAACTTATGACATGTTTTCAATAGGCACTTAAGAAGTCTAGGATGAATTTAGTCTTTGCAACAGTATTAGACATGTTCAAAATAAGCTTACCGAAGGGTGTGAGTAGAGAAGGTTCTGAGCCATGTAACTTTGGAAATGAATGGATATTGCATAAGACGAAGGGCAAAAGAAAATGCATATGAGTGCTATATTCTCCTTGACAAAGTCGTTTTCCGTGGGATATGGAATAATAATTGTGACACTGATACCCATGTTTACTGGAACTGAACAATTTAATAAATGGATGACGGGTGACAGGGCGCTGCTTTTCACTGTTGGAATGGGAGGTTTGAAACAAGGAAAGGAGGTTAGAATAAAGTTGGAGACATTAATATGAATTCATGTTGAGTTTAATATAAAAAATGATAATATACAAACACAAATGTTTAGTTATGTGCCTATATTCTGTGCCTTGCTACATCTGCTGAGACGGCCTAGAAGCAACAATATCTGACAGCAAACCGTAAGCACACATAGCACCCAAATCTTGGTCTCTAATGCCGTTTTTCTGAAAAAGAACAAGGAATTTTTAAGGGAATTGATTATTAGAGGGCTGAGGTAAAGAATACACAATATGAACCTGGACAATCTTGAAATCCCAGAAAGTAGGGAACTGCCATAACAAACAAACAAAAATAAACAAAAAAATAAATAAAATATGTCAAAAGCACATAGGGACCAATTGAAAGAGACTCTAATGACCAAAACGGGAACAATTTGAAATACAAAATAAATTATAATCCAACGTATACAATAAATATCTATGTGTCCATACTCATATAAAAATTAATGAATATATAATAAATTGCGGAAATACACAAATCTCTATGTAGAAGAATTGTCAACAGTATAATTCATGTTGATAGCATGTGATAATAGTAATGTCTTGAAAATGTCCCTTTACCTCTGTTGTATACCGAAACCCCATAACTTCAGTCTATTCATGATAAAATATCACAAATGCCAGTGGAGAGATAGTTTGCAAAATATCTGACCCACATTGTTCAAATAGCCAACATCATCAGGACTAAGAAAACCAGGGACATAGTCTCAGCCAAGTGTTTAAGTAGATGGAATTTGGTATTCTGAATGAGAACTTGGAACAAAAAAAGAGCATTAAGTAAAAAGAAATTCGAGTAAAATGTAAACTTTTTGAACTATTGATTTAGTAGTTGTGACAAATGTACCATATAAATATAAGATTTTAAGAATAAGGACAGTTGGGTGTAGGGTGTATAAAAACTAACTGTAACATCTTTACAACTTTTCTTTAAATTTACAATTCTAAAGTTATAGTTTTATTCAGTAAAAGCATTGGGAAGCCCGGCCAGTTGGCTCAGTGGATTGTGCCTTGTCCCATGCACTAAGAACTCACTGGTTTGACTCCTGGTTGGGGCACATGCTGAGGTTGCAGGATTGATCTCTGGGTGGGGCCGTGCAAGAGGTGGCCAATTGATGTTTCTCTCTCATTGATATTTCTATCTCTCTTTTCTTCTCTCTTCTTCTCTCTCTCAAAAATCAATAAAAATATTTTTTTAAATAAATAAAAGGTATTGGGAAAATTGGACAGATACATGCAGAAAATGAAACTAGACCACCTTCTAACACCATATAAAATAATAAACTTGAAATGGATTAGAGATTTAAATGTACAACTTGATACC